CACGGTATAACGCCACGCACAATGTAAGCATGTAATACATATAGAGATTCAATTTATTCTTTAAGTTTATTTAATATTTTGTCTTTTGTATTGAGAGCACCTAGATTATTTTTTTCATTTATTTTCTAATACTTTGTGCACATTGCTAAGTTTGTTTACAAATTTTGGTTCATATTATTTCGTTAGAAAAATTATTTTGAAAGAAACATTTTTTTATACAAATCTCGATTTTGTGATATGGAGATTCGACTTCTAAAATTTATTAGGGATTGCCATATTTGCCATTCATGTACGAATTTTTTTCAATATTACAAACCAAATTGTTGACGATGATGTAATAAATTGATAACTCTGACAATCACATTAGAACAAAATAAAGGTATTGAAGAAAGTTAATTTTTTCTACAAGACAGATGACAATTTCTTTGAACATAATATCTAAACTTTCTTGGTCGATGGATTCTTGCTGTTATTATATTTCCAGCAACCAATCCTTTCTTGGTCGATCTCTAGTGTTTTTTGTTTTTGGATTTTTATAGAAGGAAGCACACATGCTAATTTTCATGGGTTATTACTAACCAAAACTTGATTTGTAATAACTTGCAGTTGTCTATAGTTGAGGCCATCAACACACATTTCAATATTCGTCGTCCACTCTCAATTGCGATGGAAAGTTTTCGTCGTGCTTTTGACCTCGCACAATCCATTCTTATCTATTATGCTCTTCGTCTCATTTTCTATACCTCATTTCTGCTGTCCAGACTTTACTCACCACAACCCCTAATTTTACATCACTGCAACACCACTATAAGTTGAATCCACCATGCAAGCTCCATTCACCTAATTTTCGTCCATATCACTTGTTCCCAGTTACACGTAGATAGGGGGACATAGTTCCATTTAGTTCTAGTTTCCAAGGAAATTGAACCGAACCGTGAAAGTCTAATTGAAGGATTGGACAAAATATTTGTAGGGAACAAAAAAATTGGTTGTTTTCTTTATCGATTTATTCAACATTTAGTAACTAGATTTTAATTGATAAATATCTTTCAGTAACCAATATTTGGTTGTCGAATGATTTTTTTTTAAAAAAAAATTGTTGACATCCACCGACCAATTAATAGTTGCTGATCAAGGGATAGATTTAGTGGCCACAGATTAAATGTTGTAGGTATACCTTTACCGGCCACAAATTGGTAGCTAGATATATACATTCAACCACCAAAATTTGGTCTCTATTGACTATTGGTACTCCTTTACCGTTGATCTCTATATGGTGGGTTTTTAGCGACCATTATCCATGTAGGCAATTCGATGAAGATGATCTACTCCCACTCTGGACCTCTTGGCTCACCTGAGATACGTACACCCTTGCTTTTTATTAAATGGTACGATCTTCGGCCTTATGTCCTCGGTTTCACTTTGGGAGATAGAGCATATTGCGTCCGCGGTAACACAAGAAAGGGGCGAAGGAGGAGTTCACTAGGAGTAAGCATCATCCCTATTTCTTTCTGTTGTAGTTGTAATAAATAATCTTTTTTTCATTTACTGCTTTTAATTAAGGGCTACATCTATTAGCTTATTGCCAATTGATAGAGTGAATCAATAATGCTTTTGATTTTGAAGAAGTTATGAAATTCCGAAATTTGAAGGGCCACAATAAATTTTGAGAATCGAACCAGATTACCGAAATGACATCATTCGAACTGGTTCTTGATTTCTAAGCTCTTGCAAGTTGGAGACGGAGATATGACTTTTAGAGACCAAAATAAAAATTTTCCCAAACAAATATATGCATTTATGGAAGTGCAAGCAGATCATAAATATTTAGAGGTTGGCCATTCCTCCAATCTATGTTGTGCTGGCTGGCACGTAATTTGTTTTCGTGGGGTCAACTCCCAACTTTAATTGAAAAGAAAAACTCACGACTTCATTAAAGTGAAAACGCGCATCCATTAAGATTGAAGCTGGCACTATGCTGTCGTCTAAATTCTGTTGTCTCCTTCGTCGAGCCTTCCTCTGCTCTGATCTGAGTCCATACTCCCTATATAAATAACCGCCTCCACTCTCCATTTCCACCATCATCAAATCCTCACCAAAACAAAGAAATTCTACATATTTTCTATCATTTTTCTGTTCATAACATATCCCAATTCAAAATGGCAGCCAGTTTCTCCATCAATATGATCTTGATATCTGCATTTTCGTTGATCAGTTTTGCTTCTTCAGCAAGAATATTAGAAAATCAAGATCCTATGCTTTTCAAATACCACAATGGCCCACTTCTTACTGGCAAGATCA